ACATCTATTCTAAAGATATGCAAATTAAGTAAACAATAGAATACCATATATGGTAAATCTAGTAACTATTCACAAGTAATACTTACATTCTCGGTTCTGACCTGATTTACATATGTACATATTTATTCTAATGATATGCAAATTAAACAATAGAATACCATATATGGTAAATCTAGTGATAATACTTACATTGCTGGTTCTTTTTGACTTTACATATGTACTGATACATGAGGGGGGTGCTCTCTGTACACATCTTTCATGCACCGTATATTTACAAACTGATGAAATAAAACCATTATACAAAGAATATCAACAATAAAAATATATTAGCAGAAAATAACAGCATATAAATCCAACAATTGATTCAAACGATGTGTGTTACTTTTAGACTCAGTATAAATAATTTGTAAAATATGAATAAATATAAATGTTATCATTAATATCACTATACATATTATCACCCAATATCCTTGTTCAGCTGATGAGCGAATATTATGAGATTATCCCTCAATATTATTATTTATCTGTTGGATAATTGCTATATTTTAAATCAGAATTTATGAGTAATGACCTCTTAAAAACATTGTGATGTCATAACAATAATTTCATGTACTTACATGTACAAGATAGTCCTTGCTTACCAAGACCAACTAACATATTTAAACAAAGATTACAATATGCCGGTCTATTATAGTGTTTAAGTCTCCACACATGGTTTCCATCATCTTTAACATTCTGGAAAAAAGTTTTGATATTAATAATTTGGAAAAATTATCAGATTTTCGTAGATGGGTGAGAAATGTGGGATATGAGAAATTAACTTTAATTATAAAAAAAAATTTCTTAATTATGTTATTACGCTGAAAAAAAGAAGCTAAAACTAGGATTATTTTAATGAGCACTGAATAACTGTAAATTACACAGGAGGAGAAAAACGAGTGACTTACTGTATCTAAACCTAATAATACTAATAGTGGTATTGTCGTCAGCCCGCCTCGTATCCATTCTTCTAATGAAACTGTACCATCTGAGTCATAATCTATCTCTACCATCATGTCTTGTAAAATCTAAATGCAAAAATATACATCATTGAAGAATATGAGGTACCGGTACTTACGAGAATACCTGAAAGTATGCATGAAGGCAGTAATGGGTAGTGGAGCTTGATGTAATCCCGTACTGTAATGCCTGAGTGCATACTTTGCGGTATTCTCATGATAAACTTATTAATATACATTTTTTCTTGCTTGTAGTAATTATTTAATGAGAGATAACATTGTGAATATAGTATTACTGAATCATTGGTGGAAAAAATGTGACTTAATCATAATTGATGGCAATATAGTATCACTGGTTATAGATTGCCTTCTATGCAGTCAGACAAAAAAAATCATTGTAAGTTAGTATTCTTGTTAAAGGAAGTAAATTTATTAAGTTTCACATCTAGCACCTGACAACATGTATAATTGTCAGGACTTCACTTCAACATTTAGTTCACTCCTCACTCTACACATATACAGAGCAAACTGGAACAAACTGACCATGTAATTTTCAAATTTGTGTTGAAATAGCAAAGAAATTGGAACAACAAGAGAACCCTAATAAAAAAGGACAAAAAACAAAGAGGATTGAACTACCGGTACTTACCGGTCTGAGTTCTGAAACATCCCAACCAAGGTATTCAGCTACATGCATCATTTGATTCACTATACAATCTAACTCCTAGAAAAAGATAAGAGAGAGAGAGTGTTAACCAAAATAAAATTCTCAAAATAAGATCCCAAAATATAATTCTATTTTAATTGAGCCATGAGATATAGAATAAATATATTAATGCACTTGCCAAAACATTTGGACAATGGTTAGCGGTGTTTACCTGGCTTCAGTTCATGAGTTTGATTTTGAGAACTGACTGCTTAAAAAATTGAACTATAACTTAGAGTACACCCTGCCCTGCCTTTCAAACATAGGTTTGGGAGACTGGTTCATACGTTATTATTCACCTAAAGAAACAAAACATTTCAAGACAGACAGTAGTTTCTGCAATGTCTAGAAATGTCAATTGACACAAAAAGATTTTAAATATATTGATCTCTTAATGTTGTAAAAATTATATTCAGATTCAGATTTGAGTTGTAAATTATCCC